TGTTTCAATATGTGTGTATGTGTTTTATTGAGTGTATAAATGTTTGTATATGCACGTTTCCCTATTTTGCCTAAGGCCCCATTCACACTGTGCGTAAAATCCCGCTATTTCACGCATTTTTGCCGCGCGATATCGCGAGAAGTCGCCGGCCAATGTTATTCAATGGAGCTGTTCTAATCAGCAGGACCCTTTTTCGCGCGGATGTCGCGCAATGTTTCTATTTTTGAATGCAGCCCGACGGTGAAGGTCGCTGAAACGTCGCTCTGGACAGTCGCGCTATCCCGGCCCCGCTTGTAAGGTATGTCACTTGGCGTGAATGGGGCCTAAGGCAGTGATGTTTAACGTCCCTTAAACCCGAGCGCCCGAACTGCATTACAGTACTAAAAACGTATTTTCAGCGCTGGCACTTTGAGGTAAATAAATTGATTTTGCGTTGCAGTTTGGGCACTCGGGTTCAAAAAGGTTCGCCATCACAGCCCTAGATCATGTCCCAGCATTATGGTTTTGTTTTTTTATTTACATTGTTCCTTTGGTGTGACACAGATTTTATTACTCTCTGAGACATCACCAGGCTTGTAAAATTCTTGCTGGGGTGGCTGCTGGGAGGTCCTTTCTTACTGATGAAGGCACACCCCCAGAACTACATGTCCTAAGAGCCCTTTACCTGCACACAGTATGTGCACAGGCTCTTGGGAGTCAAAGCAGCAGCTTGGTTTTACTGAGGAAAAAAAAAAATCAGGGGCAGGAAGGGATCGAGGACTGGCAGAGTTCTGTAGTCCAGCAGGCAAGGCTGATGACCCTATTTGGGATTTCAGAGCGGAAAATGAACTGGGTTGTCAGCCCAAACAGGAACTTAGGAGCACAATTGGTTTTATGCAGGATATTGTAAAAATTATATAACATAAGGAAAGTCTAAATCCCATGTTTAATGCTCAACCCCAGCCCAATTTTATTTGTTTTGGATAGAAGGGAAGAGTTTTTATTTCTGTGACCCCACTGGGTAGATATTCCCTTAATATAGGGCCCTGTGACATCCAACAAGAAATGAAGGGGGTGGGTGCAATGATTGGTGTGGCAGGAAGGAGCAGACAGCAATAAAAACATTGTCAAAAGTTCTAACATTTCCTCACCCTACTAAAAAAATGTTTTCTGAATGGTGTCTCCATTGGAGCAATGCCAGGACAAGAAGCAAGAGGACATCTCCCCATCAGATGGCAAGGATGCCAGCTCTGCGACAGAGCTGTAGCTGACAACTTCCCTGCCAGATACATTATTCAGGAACCGATCAGCCTGATCCCTGGTCATGTGATAGCAGTTACATTTAGTCATAGTGATCACATGGCTATGTTTACAAAAAAAAAGCTGGCCCTGGCTGAACCATCACTACGCAGAGAGAGGAAATCTAACAAACAGTGGGCCAGCTGCAGCTGGTTAAACAATGTATGGACCATAACAGTTTACCCTGTCACAGAGCAATCGGGAACCAATCATCATGATTCCTGATCATGTGATAGCTGTGACAGCCAGTCATTAAAAAAAAAAAAAATCACATGGTTGTGTTTACAAAACTAGCCAACCCTGGCTGGTTGAAATAAATACATTTCCCAATTTGTCCTTTAGTTTGCCTGTAATAGAAAACGTGAGCCGTGTACTAAATAAAAGCATATATGTGCTTAAAGTGTAAAAATGTATACGTTTGGCAAACTTGTCCTAGAGTTACCCTGTTTCCCCGAAAATAAGACCTACCCCAAAAATAAGACCTAGTTCTATTTTTGGGAATTGCTAAAATATAAGACCTACCCCGAAAATAAGACCTAGTTGTGACCATTCCCAGGGCCGGTGGTGGCATAAGGGGGAACTTGCAGAGCCGCGGGAGAAAATCAGCGGGGGCCAATGAAGCCAGCGCTAGAGGAAGCGAGGCGGCAGCGGAGGGAGCAGAGCCACATAAGCCGATGCCTCCTCTATAGCACCGGCTCTTGTCACAGGCGGAGTGATACCAAATACACTCTGCCTGTAAGGAATCGATAGTGAAAGCGCGCTTCACTCATTCTGGCCAGCGATTGGTTACCAAATTGCTCTTGGAAAGGTACGGCACCCCAGATTGCCCTGATCACCATACTCTTAACTTTGCTATTTTGGATTATTTAATTTGGATTTGCATTAATTTTGGATTGTTGTACATGAAAAAAAAAATAAGACCTACCCCGAAAATAAGACCTAGTGTGTTTTTTTGAGCCAAAAAAAATATAAGACAGTGTCTTATTTTCGGGGAAACACGGTATACTTAAAAGGAGAACTATGGAGGTGAGTGAAAATCACTCAGCCTCATAGTTTGACCCGACGTATGACAATGAAACTGTCACACATCGGCTTAATAGAGCGGGAAGTGAGCGAACACATACCGTCGCTCGCACACTTCCCGATCATCTCCCTGCATAGAGTGGTGACTGTCAGTCACGGCTCCCTGCAGGGATTCCCCCCTCCCTGCTCCAATCCTAGAACACTGACTGGAGGAACGGATGGGAGAGTGGACGGGTACAGCTGGCTCTGCCTCTAGATAGGCAGAGCCAGCTGTCACTTAGGCAGCTGGGTGGATCTCCACACTGATGTCGTGATCTGTCCCGACTGCGGCGGTCTCAATATATCGCAAACTGTAGCTCGCGATATACTGAGATTTGGGTCACGGGAAGACGCTAGTATAGGTCCTCCCGTGACCCTTAAGAGAATTATGGGGGAAAAACGCTTACACCGTAGTACTATTTTAATGTTAACTGACCTCTAGGTACCAATGCTTCTGGTCACAAAAGGGTTAAAGCAGACCTGTAATCTGCCATGGAAGCATGTTATCAATATGCACCTCCCATGGTGTAAGATTAAATATTCCTATTTTTATGTTAGCAATGTAAAGGTACATCCTTGATCTCCCTCCAGTGCCCAGACACTAAATTGGTGTTGAAGCACTGGTCACATGGTCTATGACAAGAGGATCTAGGGGACCTACACCAGGAAGCTACTTAGACACAGCCAGCCTCTTACTCCCTTTGCCTAGACAGTGACCGCCCCTGAGGATCCACATTTAGCAGAGGTCAAGTAGAACACCTTGATAAGGTTTCTGGAATGGGCATTCTAGTGGACGATGCTCTTCAAGAAGCTCATTCACATGCATTGGGCGGTGCCCAATGCATAGACAAGGCGATTTGCCTTGAAATCTAGGAGTTCAGTTTACACCACCGCACCGCAGTAATGTGCGCTAAAAAAGTAGGACATGCAGTAGTTTTTACATCACATCACCACTCCCTAATGTCCATTAAGATGAATTAAATGTCATTTTTGTGACATTTCAATAAAGTTCGACAAAAAAAAAAAAAAGGGAAACTGTGTGATGTGTCACACCAGTGGCTGTGTTATAACATGGCCATTAGTGGGAGCAAAGCCCTAGAAGTATTTTCCTTATTAACAACAGGTAAGATTTGAATTACACATTTGCTTTTTCCCTCTTTTGATGTGAAGCCACAAGGATCAGGATGCAAAAAAAGATAAAGCAAAACTCTGCTCTTAATCTTAGATAAAGTGTGAAAAGTTTTAGAACCTCTGTCTGCTATTTATAGCTATACTGCAAGGGTTCAAAACCACCTTATTAATACTGTGTGTCCCCACAAGAAAATTCCACCTCACTTCCTGTATATTTGAGAGCTGTCAGAGAGAACTATGAAACTATAAAACACAAATCGCCAATTAAAGCAAGGAAGATTTAGAAAATTCAGCGTTACTATACTGCTGTAAGTGCATGGGCAGATTCCCCCTCACTTCCTGTTCCATGTGACACGTGTTAGAAAGAACGGGAAAAAAGGAGACATTTCCTCTCACTGTCAATTCATGTCACAGGTGTCAGCAGAACTCAAGAAAAAACAAACATCCCTTACTGAGACACGGAACAGGAACGAAGGTGAAATGTCCTTATTTCCTGTTCATGTGTCAGGTGGAACAGGAAAGGTAGATAACACTCTGCTACTTGTCACGGAACAGGAAATTATGTGAAATGGCCTCTCATTTCGGGTTCATGTGACAGGTGTCAATCAGAACAGGAAGAGAGGATAAACCTCCACTACTGGCACACGGAACAGGAAATTAGGTGAAATATCCTCTCACTTCTTGTTAATGTGACAGGTGTCAGCAAGAACTGGAAGGAAAGACAAATCTCTCCTACTGGGATACGTAACAGGAACCAATGTGAATTTCCCTCACTTCCTGTTCAAGCGTCAGCAGAACGGAAGAAAAGACAAACCTCCCATACTGGGACACAGAACAGGAACGTAGGTTAAATGAGAAGAGAGAACAGAGAAAAGATTAGGAGAAATTTCCTTCCACTGTTGATTCATGTGACAGGCAGAACTGAGGAAATGACAAATCTCCCCTACTGGAACAGGCACAAATGTGAAATGTCCTTACTTCCTGTTCATGTGACAGGTGTCAGGCAAAAATAGAAAGAGAAGATAAATCTCTCCTACTGGGACACAGAACAGGAAATTAGGCAACATGTCCTCGCACTTTCTGTTCATGTGACAGGTGTCAAGCAGAACAGGAAGAGAAATCTCCCCTACTGGGACACAGGACAGGAAATTATGTGAAATGTCACATGAACAAGAAGTGAGAAGACAGGTGTCTGTCAGAACTGAAGAAACAACAAATCTCCCCTACTGGGACAGGAAAAAAGGTGAAATGACCTTACCTGTAAAGGTGAAATGACCTGTTCTTGTGACAGGTGTCAAGCAGAACAGGAAGAGAAGAGAAATCTCCCATACTGGCAGAGATTGTAAACCCTGACTGTAGGTCTTACCCTACTTCCAGATTTGTGAAGGTTTTAGCTTTAACGCCAATAAAAAAAATCAATAGTGAACCTCACAGAGGAAGTGAAGCGCCAGTCATGTCTATAGTGTAGGAGAAAAGTAAACCATGAAGTTCGGCTTTACCAGTGTGCTCTGATGGTGCTCTGTACTCACCTGCAGCCTGTCCGGTCTTGGCTAGAAGCCCCCCCAGCTCCAAGATGCTCTGCTCCTTGACGCGTACCGCTTCCTCATCGCTTTCCTGGATATCTCGCTTGACTGCAATGAAAACAAAGCGTTCAGACTCAGCTTCTCTACTGCTTATCCACACATAATACCAACAAAAACCTGTGCAACATCATCAAACTGCTGTCATTCTGAACCCCTGTCTTCAATACCTTTCAAGCCACTGACCTGGAACAGATCAGGTCTATGGACTTTGCTAGCTGCATGCTTTTTGCTGGGTCAATAACTATAACCACTGTGGTCAAAGGCAGCCAAGCTAACATAGGTTGTCAAACTGTATCTAAATCCACAACTCTATTTTCAGTTTCGGAGTAGGGAACAATTA